TACAAAATACTAATTTTTGTTCACAGCAATTATATAAACTTTATATATATATTTTCCTTTTTTCCCAATGTACCAAATGCTATTGCTACTTAGACACTGTAAATCACTGCATAGTTTTTGGTTCCCTGTGCTTCTGGGCCTTACAGCGCTCACATGGTTTGCTATGGCTATAGTTATAGACAAAAGTCGCTGAACTGTTTTTTAAGACTCTGGTCTATCATGTCTTTGGGACCACACACATTTTTTTCTCATTCTACTGAATATCACTTAACCATTTGGACAATATACGTCCCCCTCTCCCCTGGGTATACATATATCACTTACCAGCATGCTGTCGCTTCTCCTGAGCACTGAAAAAGTGAATGCAGGACAGGAACAGTAGTGGCATGCCTTGTAGCAGGTGTACAGCTTACCAGAGCTCCCCGTAACCTAATTGAAGACAACAAAGCAGCAAGTTAGATAGTGCTCTGTGTATAATATATAGTAGGTAGACCTTTTGGGACTCAGGTTGAAAGGTAGACTCATGCTCTTTGAAGGCTTGACATCAGCACAATAAAACCAAGGTATTGAAGGCAGTGACATATGTTTAAGTGCTGTGTATAAAACACTGTCTGCAGACGGTATACACTGTACAGTATATCTGTCTGCTTATATATAATACATTTGACACAGAAAAAAACATTGCTTTTTAGGGGTGTTTTGCCAATACTCTACTTACATGGTATTCATTCACATGCATTGTGTGCCAGGTCCCAGTTTATTTGCTATCAGTTCAGGTCCTTTTAAATAATTCTCATTCATTCCATTTTAAAACATCGGATATGGTTTACTCAACAGGCAGAAGAACGCCCATTTGTCATGTATAGAGGAGAATAATGAATAAAACAGTCCTCCAAAGCATTACAAATGTGTGTTTGGGGTTAGTTCTCTAGTAGTTATCCATACTGTAGTGCAATGGAAGTGGTGTGTTGTCAAGCATGGGACACGAGAACCCTCCCTCACTCCCCCCTCATCCTCCCTGTGATATCTGGTGGGGGTTCCTCTCCCCTGTAGCCAATGTCCCATTTTAAAATTAGCTCCGCTCAAAAGTAGTGTCATTCATTTACAGAGATCTGTAAATGAGTAAATTACAAGTCCCGTCTGCCACTGTGGCAGATGGACTTTCAATTTCAATGGACTGTGGGCATGCTGATCAGCGCACTTGTAGCCCATCCACTCTTCCGACAGCTCTGAAACTGACAGCCCCTACAGAGGTACAGACACAGAGCTGTATGAAGAGTCTGCAGGAGCCTGACAAATGTTTTGTATAAAGAATAAGTTCACATATTTTTGAAGGTTAAAAAAAAATGTGCTTTTATTATTATTTTCTCAGTAGCCTGCAGAGCATTACACCTGCGATCAACTGGAGAAAAAAAAAATTATAAATTCACTTTTTTAACCTACACAATACAGGTGCGTGCAATTTTTTTTTTTAAGGTGACTTTATCCTTTAAGAGAAGTGTTGCAGCAAGAAAAAAATCTATGGACAGGACAGGAGTTAAAATGACAGTTAACCTCAAACCAACAACAAAATAAAATGAAAGATAGAAAAGCCCCCAAATCTAAGATAATAAAGGCAGCAGATGGGTTGACATATAGCTCATAGAGTACAGTTTCTCTAGTGACTCTAATCTACCCCTTTTCAGTTTTCCCTAAGCTTTCCCTACAGCAATTTCTAATATGCTGTGAATCTCAAACCTATAGGATTTGCCTTGAACCCAAGGTAGTAGTGGACCCAAACATGCAGCACAAAGAAATAAATCCAACACAAAGCTGAGGGAGCACAGTACAGGAATGTGGAAATACTCCTCCAACTGTATGATTTCTAATGGAAGCATGAAAACCAAAACAAACGTCTGATTGATTGCTACTATCTATACCTGCACTCCTCTTTTTCAGGTTCAGCTTTTATTATGAAATTTACTTGCCATGTATAATAACTGCAGGTCTGAATAAGATTACTGTACAAGTTGTAATCTTTCCAGTCTAAAAATTATTTATTTGCATGATTTTATAACCGAAAACTAGAAAAAAGTAAGTTTTTGCAAAATTGTTTGTATTTTTCTGTTTATATAACAGAATATTTAAAAATCCATTTGTGATTAAATACCACCAAAAGAAAGCTCTATCTGTCTCAAAAATTATATAAAATTAATTTGGGTACATTGTTGTATGGCTGAGTAATTGTCAGGGGTGGACTGACAACTCATGGGGCCCCCTGGTAATAAGAGTTTCTCAGCCTACACTAAAGTCAAAGCCACACCCCACCTACATATTGCAGCTCAGCTGCATATAAAGGGCATTCAAAATAATAAAAAAAAATAATAAAAAAACGTTGTTGGGTCCCCCCTCCATCCATACCAAGCCCTTTGGGTCTGGTATGGGTTTTGAGGAGAACCCCCGCCAAAATTAAGAAAAAATGGTGTGGGCCCACCCCCCAAGATTCATACTAGACCCTTATCCGAGCAGCAGCTCAACAGGCCAGGAAAAAGGGGGGATGAGCGAGCGCTCCCCCCTTCCTGAACCATACCAGGCCACATGCCCTCAACATGGGGGGGGTGCTTTGGGGAGCTGCCCTCCCAAAGCACCTTGTCCTCATGTTGGTGGGGACAAGGTCCTCTTCTCCACAACCCTGGCCGGTGGTTGTGGGGGTCTGCAGGAATTGGAATCCTTTCCCCCCTTCATGTGAATGAGTATGGGGTACATGGTACTGCTACCCATTCACGTTGGAGCTTCTTCGGGGGACATTCTTTTATTTTTCTTCTTTTAATAAAGGACTTGTCAAAGACTGTCTTCTGTCTTTTTTCACACTACACCACAGGCAAGCACAGAAGATCCAACCCACCCAGAGATATATCTGTTGGCTGGCCCCTAAACATGTATGCTCAGTTTACTCAAGGGCACATTTAAAGTGGTTGTAAACACTTACATACCCAGTGAAGCGACTAGTCTCAGTTGATACGCAAAGATTAAACAAATCCTCCTACAGAAGTTGTACCTGTTTATCTGCAGCCCTCTCTTCTCTTTAGCCTTTTAAAACACAAATCAAGAGCTTTTTTCTCACACACACACACTCTCATAGGAAAACATGCACAGCTAAGGCTGTCCATCACGCTCTGTGTGCTGGGGGGGGTTGTCCCCTGGGATTATCTGTCAGAAGTGAGTCACACAGATAGCACCGAGAGGAGAGGCAGGGGCGGATCCACCGCGAGGCAAACAAGGCGTTAACCTAGGGCGGCAATTTTTAGGGGGGCGGCAACGCCCCCCGAAGAAAGGACCCTTTGAGCAGCGACAGACAACAGGAAGATTGATGTGGGGGAGGGCAGTTGCACCTCTCCCTCCAGCAGCTGACATGCCAGGACCAGGGGACAGCCTTGAGCAGGGAGAGAAGTGATGAAAGAGCCTGGAAGAGGTGAGCTGTATTGTATTCTGTGGGCTCTCCCTCCTGTCATCCATCCAGCAGATTACACTGACACTGATCACTGACAAATCGTATGGGACTGCACACATCTCCCCCCCTTCCTGCTGCACGGAGATCAGCAGCCCTTGCAGAGGGGGAGGAGTGTGTGTGTGTGGTCCCAAAGGATCTGAAAGAGAGGGAGGGAAGAGAGAGAGAGGGAGGAAAGAAAGAGGGAGGAAAGAAAGAGGGAGGAAAGAGAGAGGGGGGGAAAGAGGGAAGAGGGAGAGGGGGATAAACAAACAGAGAGAGAGGGAGAAAGAGAGGGGGGAAGAGAGAGAGAGAAGAAAGAAACAGAGGGAGGAAGAGGGGAGAGAGAGAGAGGGGGGGGGGGGAGGGAGAGAGGGAGAAAGAGGAGGGGGAGAGAGGGGGGAGGGGGAGAGGGGGGGGAGAGAGGGAGGAAGAGAGAGAGAGGGAGGAAGAGAGAGAGAGAGAGAAAAAGAGGAGGAGAGAAAGAAAGAAAGAGAGAGATGGAGAAAGAGGGAGGGAGAGAAAGAGAGAAGGGGGGAGAAGGAGAAAGAGAGAAGGGGGGAGAAGGAGAGAGAGAGGGGTGGAGAAGGAGAGAGAGAGGGGTGGAGAAGGAGAGAGGGGGGAGAAAGAGGGAGAGATAGAGAGAGGAGGGAGAGAGAGAGAGAGAGAGAAAGGGAAGAGAGGGGGGAGAGAGAACAGAAAGAAAGGGAAAGAGAATCATATATACATACACACACTTATTGAACTCTCTCGCTCTCTCATTGGGGAGGGGGGCGCAACATTTTTGTGTTGCCTAGGGCAGCACAAAATCTAAATACACTACTGAGGAGAGGTCAGAAAGGAACAACACTAGGTGCTTTGGATTAAGGCAAGTACACTATAGAGGGATATGCTTTCTTCATTTTCACTGCAAAGGTTTACAACCACTTTAAGGGCTCGTTCACACCATGGTGCAGAGATCTCAGTTTTTCTGCATGCGTTCTGCAAGGACACAAAAAAAACAATTGTTCTCTATGTGCGCTGTTCACACCACAATACTGGTGTCACATGCAGATTTTTTTTGCACAGGAATCTAAAACATGTATGTAAATTCTGCACAGAAAAAACTGATGTAACATCAACACTGGTGTGAAAAAAAGTACATAACTGGCACGCATGAAAACTGATGTCAATGTGCATAAAAACTAATTTAAACATGCATGAAAACTGATGTAAACTGATGTGAAACTGACGTAAACTCATGTCTCTGCAAGTGAAATCTGTGTGGTTTTCCCATGAGTTTTCTTGCTTGTATGGTGTGAACGAGCCCTAAGGGAACCGAGGAGTCAGGAACAGGCTCATCTGCAGGGAAAGTACCACAAATAAGCAAGGTTGTTACATCCCTCCATATAATCTTTTCTCCCTAGAGCAGTCAGCTTAGTAAGCGCTGTTTTATATTAAAGTGTTTCTAAACCCAGGACCCTGCATTCACTACATATGCTCTCCCACAGTACACAGAACACAGAAATGCAAAAACTTTAGTAAATATAAACTGCTAAATACCTTTTCTCATCAACAGTTGGAGCAGTCTTGTGACTTCTATCAGTGTCCAGCTTAGTACTGGTTAAAGCTTGTAGGAGGAGTTTTCATTCACCCCTGATTGTCCTATGAGGCTGCAGGACTCCTGACTCTCTGTCTGGACAGTGCTCTCCCAAGAAAAAAAAAAACTCCCCAACAATACACACCAAACTGAGCATATGCAGCTTGACCCCAAGGCACTGTTCTATCAGCAGACGGATTGAGGACAGTAGAAGAAGGGGAGGATCAGAGAAGATGGGATCAAACATCCTTTTTACACAATGCAGAGGATTACCCCTTAGGTTCCACAGTGAGTATAACAAGCATGCTTTACTGCATATACAGACTGATTTTACTGTTGTGGGTTTAGTTAACACTTTAAGTGTCATCCATCCACGGAGAAGATGAGCTTTGCCAGAAACATCAAAGATGCAGCAGCACCAAGTATATTTTTCATTACTTAATGCACAGGTGTAAACACAATCGTACTTTTCTGAAAAAAGCTTAAAGTGGATCTAAAATCAACATTTTTATACTTTAAATACAGAGAAGAACATCTGGTTGGATACTGTATGCCACACCTCCATTACTCTCCAAGTTATCATGTGTTTTGAAATTCACGCACTATGTTAGCTGATTTGCTGTTCTATGTGGATGATCTTCAGCAATTATGGCCACAGCTCATGTCACACAGAGAAACTCTTCTTTCCCATTTACCATCCCCAGGGGACCAGGCGAGGAAATGTCTGACTGTTTACAGCTGCCAAGTTCTAATTCTGACCGCTGGCAGGAAGTCAAGTCTTGCTCTGCATATGGTGAAAAATGTTTACAAGCACATCGGTCTGCACAACCAAAGCAGACAAAAGCAGCAGCCGCCCAGTTTGTGGGAATGTAATACATGACCGTAATACCTGGTTTTGTACAATTTCAGAAGGAACCAGAATGGTCCTGCAGACAGCAAAACATTTAATCTGGACAATTTTGTATAGCTAATAACGAAAGGATTTATTTTCAGAAAGGAACATGTTATTTAAATGGCAATTTACGAGAAACTATTTCTATTAAAACATTCAAATTAAAGCACACAAAGAGATAAATCTGAAGAGATCCAGATGTCATTTACAGAGCATTACAGAACTCCATCAGGAATGATTGGCGTATAAACTGGTTTTATACATATCAGAAAAACAACAACTCCTTATGTGGAAATAAATGTATTGACTATGGGGTGTCTCTAACAGTCAGACACCTGTGTGGTGATTGGAAGCGGACAACCATTTTGCTAAGATCTACCATCTTGTATCATACTCTGCAAATATCATTTTCTCTCCCTCCAGCCCCCTCCCCTTGCAAGGAATGTGGTCTGTGTGTGTGCTGAGTGCAGGAGTGTACATGGCACATCTGGATACGCTTCCTGGTTGTAAACCCAATTAGCTGGTTCCATGATGTCTGTCAGACCCTTGCCTTGGCCTGGTCGTAAAGCTATAAATCAGTCCGTCACTGGACATGAAAAGCATTTCAGAAACATACATCCCACTTGAAACCACTTTTCCATACAAATTCATAAATCCCGACAGGAACAAGGTACAATAAAACAAAGCATATATTCAGATAGGTCAGTTTAATATGAGTCACCTGACACATTACACCCCTATGTGGAACCTACACGAGAGTAGAAAGCAATATGTCGATATCTGGAACGGTAAGATGTCATATTTGATGTCTGGACGTTCAGGATATCATTCTGCATATTAATCTACCAGTGGCTAGGCTGCTACATGTACCTAGTGAAGGTTATTGGCCATGGTATAAACGCGGGAGGGATTTGGTCATAGCCTGAGTCCCCGCCTAAACACCCCTCCCCAAATGAGGAGATTGGTTCTCTGCTTTAAGGAGACACCCTGCTTGGTCCCTAGAAAAAAGGCTGTCATGCCTGGAGAAGAAGTTGAAGAGATTCTCCCTTTTAACATCAGGAACCATCTTTGGGAGAAAAGGCACCCTTTGTTGTTCAGGACACTTGAACTCTGCTTAAACCAAGGACTTCTGCAGGTATCCTACCTTCTTAAACTTCTTTCTTTATCTCTCTGTTGTGTTATTGCTCTCTATATTTATATATATATATATTTGTTACATCTTTTCTGTAAATATTTTTATTGCACCATTTTGCCCTTTTTAGTAATAAATCCTATTTTATGAAAAGTGGTAAACTGTTTCTAAAGCTCTTTAATGCAAACTAAGAATCCCGGTCTCTGAAGAGTGCTACTGTGTGTTTTAAAACCTCTGGATACATCTGTTTGCGGTGACAGTGTGTATACAGATGCTTATTCAAACATCATAGTGTTACTGCTAAGATTTGTGAGTTTCCTCCTTCTCTGTAAAAAAGGTGGTGTTGCAGTGTGAAGGGTTAATTGCATTATTAACCTGACCCAGTAACAATCGCTCTCAGGCTGCTGGTACCTAGATTGTGGTCCAGCGAGCTGGAAAATCTTTGTGCAGGGTGCAGCTGAGAGTGGCATTGTTACGCAAGTGGCAGCGCGGTTTTAGATTGGCTAGTCCTTCGGTCACAACTTGGTGAGAAGGGCTGGGGTCTGACGCCGCGCCCGTCACAACCTGAGGAAAAATTGTGGTTTGCAGACCTCATGTATGAAGGTACCAAATCCCTCTTCCCCCAACCACCCCGTGGATTATGAAACAGAAATCTGCCCAGGAAAATAACTGGTGCAGTCTAAAAGTATTAACCTCCCTAGCGGTCTGATTCTGTCAGTATTTCTGTGCTCAAAGCGGTACTTTTTTTGCATAGAAATATGTATTTTTTTTATTGTAGGCCTGTAACTCTTAGGAATAACTCTCTGAAATCTGTCCAAACAAGAGTCTAGTAAACATTCCAGGTATGTTACAATTTGAAACACGAAATCATTAATTATAATTTAATAAATAATCATAAAAAATAATAATATAATAATAATAAATTTAATTCAATAATATAATCAAACCAAAAACACTGAAATTTGAAATATAGCGCCAAGTTTGCACATCACTGAGCAAAGTCGCAAAATCGTTTTCAGTGTCTGATGACGAATTTCCCCACAAATCATTATCGCTCAATTCTGCAAGTAGTTCTGATTTACTATCGTTGTTCATTAGCTGGTCTAAAACCGCTTTTGACCGAAAGGGACGCTTTTTGGACGCCATGGACATTTCTCAGTTTCCAGGCAGAAAGAACGGTAAAAATGCAGGCAGGGCACAGGACAGAGCACTCGGGACAAAATGTATGTGAAATGCTTTGATACAGTAATGTTTTACTATGTGATTTTAGTGTATTTAGTGAATGTCACTTTTTCACATTTTTAAATTTCCCGCCTTTCCGTCCCCGTACGTCCTGACATCACAGGGAACGGAACCCAGAAGACGGATGCCGGCATCGGCCGGAGGACATTGCCAGAGACACTGCAGGAGGGACATCGCGGGAGCGCAGGACAAGGTAAGAGAAGAACAGATCCCGGAGCAGCGCTGCAGGGTATTCCTGAGTGTAGCTCGGGGTTACCGCTTGTGGTACTGAAACTTTACCCTGAGCTACACTCGGGAATACCTCCAGGGGGGTTAATCCAACTGATAACTATGGAAAATTACCAACCGCTCTTTGTACCGTTGCCTACATGTTCTGAAATTAATCCTCCTTAGCAGGTCTTAGCTAGACATGTCAGATCAAACTGCAAACTGTTTCGTAACCTTACAATTGGGTTGAACTGGGCCTTAGATGTAACAGATATGAAAAGTCTACTCCTCTCTTCAGAGATACTGGTTAGAATCCAAAGCAAAACTATATTTTCAGCCCGTCTCCAGTCTCTGCTGTAACTAGAGAAGGTATACTTACCTATTTCAGTCCTCTAACACCCTCCAGTTCTCTGACATGTTCTGGCCTGCCTATGGGCTTAATCAAAGTGATGACATCATAGTCATCTCTATGATTAAGCCCCAAAAGCGGGGCAAAACATATCAGAGGAGTACAGCCAAGAGGAGTTCGGGGTGAAGCCGTATCTTTACCTTTCTATATAGTGGCTAGGTTCTGGTGTTTCCACCTTCTATGTTCAGATCAGTTTCTGCTAGCTTGCATGATCTTGTTTGAACGTCTGCACCCAATCTGTGTTTTGGACTACAGGGGGAAGTCTTGTAGTGCTTTGAGCGGAAGTTCTCGTATATGGATCAAAGGGAGTTTTCTCCATTCACATGTTTTTGCTGGCTTAACTAGAGAAATCTAAGCATGCATTCTCACCTAGATTTCTTTAGATCATAGGCCCTCTTGGGACATCTTAATACTTATCTCTTCTTCAACAATCTGGCTGACAAGGTAACTTCCCGTTTGATCTAACTTTTAAATCAGACATGCTTTTTTTTTGTGCTGTCATAGCTTGAGTCCAAATGTAATCTTTAAGGACCACTATTGTGAAATTGTATATACTATAGGTAATGTATGTATATATATATATATATATATATATATATATATATATATATATATTGCTCAACAAAAAATAAAGGAACACTTAATCAGAGAATAGCATCAAGTCAATTGAACTCCTGGGATATTGATCTGGTCAGTTAAGTAGCAGAGGGGGTTGTTAATCAGTTTCAACTTCTTTGGTGTTAATGAAATTAACAACAGGGGCACTAGATGGACAACAGTGGGACAATCCCCAAAACAAGAATGGTTTTACAGGTGGAGGCCACTGACATTTTTTTCCCTATTCATCTTTTCTAACTGCTTTTTTCTCTAGTTTTGCATTTAGCTAGGGTCAGTGTCACTACAGGTAGCATGAGGCAATACCTGGACCCTACAGAGGTTACAGGCAGTGCAACTCCTCCAGGATGGCACATCAATACGTGCCATTGCCAGAAGGTTTGCTGTGTCTTCCAGCACAGTCTCAAGAGCATGGAGAAACAATAAGAAACAGACTTCATGAGGGTAGCTTGAGGACACAACATCCTCTAGTGAGCCCTGTGCTCACTGCCCACCACCATAGAGCTTGATTGGCATTTGCCATTGAACACTAGAACTGGCAGGTGCACCACTGGCGCCCTGTGCTTTTCACAGATGAGAGCAGGTTCACCGTATACA